CAGGTCAGGAGGGGCTGGGGGGTGGCATGAGCAATCAGGGCAGGGAAGGATGGACAGATGGGGGAATGGAGGGAGGAAGGAATGACTCAAAAGGTGAATGAATGAACAAAGACAGAGAACGGCCACGCCTCCCTTGCTTTAGTTTACAAAGCACTGGGATCCTCCCAACGGACTGCAAGACAGAACTTCTGGGAAGCAGACCAGGTGGCTGCAGGGAGGGAAGGCTTGCCCCGGCTTTTGTGGGCCCAATGGCAGGCAGGGGGCAGGAAGGGGCGTCCTGTATGTGTCCTCTCTGCAGTGGCAGCAGCGGAGGCCTCCCTTGGGCTGGGTTTCCTGGAAGAGGGTCAGGAAACACCCGCCGTGGCCCCTCTCCACCACACCCTCATCCAGGACACCAAGTATCAGTCGCTCAGCTCACGAGACCCAGGCCCTGACTCAGGGAGAGAGGATGTGAGGGGTGGGGCACCAGGCTCCCCAGGACAGAGAAACCCGAGATGTGGCCACCAGCTGGGAACTGGGGCAGACTGGCTGTGGCAGCATTGTGTGTACCCCAGCAGGCCAGTACCCACACAGGGAGCCTCTGAAGCCCTTCACCTATGACCCTGGGAGAAGACCCCAGCCTTGGAGAATTGGCCTCACTGAAGGGGCCTGTACTAGCCCCACCTGGGATGTGCAAATGGGTCTCCTGAATCCTGGAGCCAGGTGTGGACTCACACATGACTGTCCCTAAATCACCATCTGCCCCGTGGGCACACCCTGCCACCTGTTCTGTGCAAGGGCCCTGAGGCTGCCTCCTTGTGCCCAAGCCCTGCAGGTGCTGAAGCCCACACACACACGGCTCCTGCTTCCTGGGCCAGTGCACGTGCACACACACACACACACGCGCACACGCACACATACCTACACCCACACACACGCACTCACCCACACATACTCACACATACCCACAATCACACACATTCCCACACCCACACCCCTCCCACACACACACAGTCACACTCACCGTCACACCCACACACCCAAACACAATCACACACATTCACACACGCACACCCCCTGCACTCACTCTCACACATACACACACCCACACACACATACACAAACACAATCACACACACCCACACACACATACACACACACCCAAACACAATCACACACATTCACACACCCCCACACCCCCCCACTCACACACATACATACACACTCACACACGCAATCACACACGCACGCCCACACACTCACACACTCAAACACACACGCCTTCTCCAGGAGGGGCTGGCTGCCAAAGGCCACCCAGCTTCCTCCCACGTCTCACTCACAGTCCAATATTTGAGCAGACCTTGGAGTCAGCAGCAACAGTAGCGTGGGCAAAGGCCTGGGGGCCACAGGAAGTCTGGTGGCGAGAGAGGACCACAGCCAGCACAGTGACAGCCAGCCCTAGCCCCAACCCCAGCAGCACCAGGCTGACAAAGGACCCACAGCCCTGGGCCATGGCTCTGTGGCCCAGGAGAAGAGGGGAGGCCGGTGGGCAGACACAGGGACAGACGGGTGGGCAGATGGATGGACAAGAAGATGCACAGATAGAATCAAAGGTAATTGGACAGATGGACAAATAGATGAGGCCACAGATAGACAAGAAGATGGATCGACAGACAGGCCAGATTGCTGGACAGGGAGGACAGTAAGAGAAAGATGGTCAGATAGACAACGGGACAGAGATGGGCTTATAGATGGGTGGACAGGCAGGTCTGAAAAGCGGGCTGCCAGGTGAATGGGTAGACGGCTGGCAGCTGGCAGCTGTGGCGAGCTGCTGCCCTCCCCAGGTACACACTACAGAGTGGCCAAACTTATGCCTCAACTTCTAGTTTTCAGCTCCTGCTTGTTCCTGGCAGGAGGCCAGGCACCAAAGTGTCTGAAGGGAGTTTTCCTTCCCTAGAGGAGCCAGCTGCTGTGTTAACTCCCTCACTGCTGGCAGGTACCAAGGCCCCACCTGCCACTCACCAGAGGCCAGGGTCACACTGTCCCAATGTGCAGGAGAACTTGGTGCCTGCTGCACTGCGGTTGCAGGTGGGGGCAGGGCTCCCAGGAATCTCCGCACCATTCCCGGGGTTCCCGGCAGCTCTGGGAAAGCAGAGCTGGGGCTGCTCAACTATCTCCCCTGGATCCAGCAAGGCTGCCCCCTCCCAGAGTGGAGCCGCACTCCCCAGCTCGCATCTCTATCCCCTAACCCTCTCTGCATGGCCTAACACAGGCAATATCAAAGTGGAACTGAACAGAGACCGAGGGGGGGGACAAAAGGTGGTGTCACTTAGGACTTGGGTTCAAGTCCCTATGCTTCTGCAGCCTGGTTTGGGTTCCACAACCCCCTAAGGATGACCAAGGGCTTCTCAGTCCGCAGAGAGGACAGGGGGACTTGACAGCATCAAACGCTGGTGATTACAAGACGTCCATGTGGGGAATGCAGACAGACCATGCCTCTAGCCCTTGGCACCTGGGACCATCCATCTCTGGGACTTGCTGTCCTGGAAATGCAGCGTGGGCCTCCAGGGAGGGAGGCTGTGCCGCCTAGGTGCCACGCCCAGCCTGCAGCTCTTCCCCACCCTAGCTGCGGGTCTGCTTCCCTGAATCCAAATCCGCTATTACTGTGCTGGCAGCGCAGCCTCTCTGGGGACACTGGCCTGGCCCTGTTCTCCCCAGACCTCAGGGTGCCTAACCGGGAGGCAGCCAGGGAAGTGAGGACCCACTGAGGGGCTCTGTTGACTAGGCTCAGCAGGAGTGCAGGTGATGTGGGTTGGAATCCTTCACACGTGGCTCCCACAGTCCTCCCCACTTCCTTCCCAGCTGAGAACTGCCTGCTCCAGATGTCTACACCTGGAGTCTGGGACGCCCAACTGGGCAGCAGAGAAACTGAGGCACAGAGACAGACTGTGTCCTTACAGGCCACATAGCCTGCCAGGCCCCTATGTCCAGCCAGAGTCCCTGATTAGCCTGGGCTGGAGTGGTTGTTTAGAGGCAGACTGTTCCCACGGTTGCCTTTCGTAGTGGGGGCCTGTGGACTCCTCCTCCCAACCCCACCTGACTCCCAAGTCTCAGTGACTTTGCTCAACCAGGAGCCGAAGTGCATTCCTGGGTTCAGGCCAGCCCACCCACCCACCCGCTGCAGTCCTGGAAGCCCAGAGGCCAGGGCAGCAGGAACAGTGGAGACAGCAGCGGAGGGGACGTCCCCCCTCCTCTCCCCACCACCCTGGTCAGGCAGAGGCCAGGGTGCAGGGACCGCCTGAGCAAAGGCCCAGGGAAAGGAATGGGTGTCATTCTGGTTTTGCACCGAGGCACAGCCAGGGAGGTACCTGAATGTCCTTCCTCAGGAAATGATGGGGGAAGGGACAATGAGAATGAAGGAGAGGATTTAAGTCTCCCACCCCCACCAAGGTAGTCCTGGGCTGAGAGCCCCATGGGACCTGAAGAACCAGGGTGAACCCCACCAGTGCTTCGGGTCCAGGAAGCCTCATGGCCAGCTCCCACTTCTCTTGCTGCTGTGCAACCCAGAGCAAGGCCTGCCCCTCTAGCCTCAGTCTTCTCCCCTGCAAACGGGGCCACGGCCTTTCCTTTCAGGCCAAAATAAGGATTGAGGCTGCATGCAGTGACTCATCCCTAAAGTAATCCCCAAAGTAATCCTAGCACTTTGGAGGCCAAGCTGGGAGGACTGCTTGAAGTCAGGAGTTTAAGACCAGCCTGGTCAACATAGTGAGAACCCATCTCTATTTGTTCAAATAAATTTTTTTAAAAAAATTAAATACGTAAAATAAGGATTGAGGAGTGATGGGTACACCAGTTGAGCCCACCTCCATCTCACCCCTGGGGAGCCCCAGGGACACAGCCCTCCAGGGCTTAGACCCGGTGGTACTCTACTCCGCAGGCACAAAACCCTGTTTGTCTGTGGGCCCTTTGGTATCATCAGGTTTTTGAGGCTCCTGAAGGAGAGTCCCAACCCGGCCTCACCTGGGCCCTGGCCCCAGTGCCCCTGGTAATATCCAGGTGCTGGGCTGTGATCACCGCCCCCCACCAGCCCACCTCCACCAGCCTTTCCCAGATCCCTGCCCCAGGTGTTGGAACTGTGCCCGGAGGAGGGAGCAGACCCCGAGGGAGGCCGGGAGGGGCTGCCAGTGGTGAAGGCTGCTGTGTCTAGCTGTTCCCTTCCAGACCCACTCCCTCTGGGCTGCGTCCCCAGCTGGTCCAAGCCCTGATCCCTGGAATCTGGGGACCTCTTCCCATTTGCTGTTCCCTGAAAACCAGGCCTCCCTCTGGAGAGGGTCACAAGCTTGGGTTTCACTCTGGGCTTATACTTGGAAACCCTCCAGGGGCTTGGCTCTGACTAAGATGTTTTCCTCTAGCATGATGCCCAATTCCCATTCCTTGGAACTCAGCTTCACCTCTCGTGTCATTAGCAGGATGAGTTGGATGCTCATGGGTCTGAGAAGGTGCCCAGGTTCCCAGCATCAGCTGGCCACCCACTGCCTAAGAAAGCACCAGGGGTGCGGCACCCCCTGGTGGCTAGTCCTAGGTGTCACTGTGCAGCCCCAATAAGGGAGCACCTGGCCCCAAAGTCCAAGGGATCAGGGTGGGAAGGGGCAGGGGTTGGCATGGACCTTCCCCTGGCCCCTAGCCACGCACCTGGCTCTCCCCATGCTGAAGATGCTGAGGCTACTTCCAGCGCCCACAGTGTGAAGATCTCCGAATCCCACCTCTCCGTTCCTCCGCAGCCAGATGGCTCCATTTCACACACAATACACTGAGGCCCAGAGAGTGGGGAGCCAGGCCAGGGAGGCCACCTGGAGCCTGACACAGTGGCCTCATTTATTGTGATGCTCTACCACTCACAGGAGACCCCAAAGTCCCCTTCCTGGTCCTGGTGAGTATCTTGTCCCTGGATTGCTGGTCAGCTTTGTCCACCCCGAGCACTCAGTAACCGGCAGGCTCCCCGCCTTTCCTGGAGTCCGAGGCAGCTGCCCAGCCACCAGGTGTGTGGACGACAGCTTGCACCACAGCGATGAAGGTGGATGCGATCTCAGTGTCATGGTGCCGGGTTTCCAGGGCTGCAGTCACTGCCTGGGGGTGGGAGGAGACGGGAAGCCTGAGCAGGGCTCCAGATGCCACCTGAACCATGCCTGTGTGGTCACAGGCCTCAGCCCAGGTGGTGCCATTTCAGGCCAGGTCATCAGGAACAGCAGGTTGGGGCCTGCTGGGTCTCACTGGAGCAGGTGGCTTGGCCCTCATGGCACAGGGGCTCCAGATGGCCCAGGCACCAGAGAGAGGACACCAACCATTGTCCACTCCGTGATGATCCAGGCCTCCAATCCAGGATGCCCTGGGACCCCACACTGTGACTCAGTTTCTCCAACCCCCAGCGCACCTGGTCAATGTTTCTCTCCACTGTTGTGACGTTGGGTAGAAGCTGGTTGTGCAGCCGGGGCTCCTCCACGGCCCGCTTCACATCATAGCCGAACCAGAGGTTGTAGATGATGGCCTGGGACATGGGAGTGTGATCAGCGTGGCCTGGGGGCTGTGCAGGGTGGGCAGAGCCAGGGAGAAAAGGGGTGACACATACTAGTGCAGTGGCCGTGGTGATCTGCGTGCCCCCAGAAGCTCCCACCACCATCCGGACCTGGCCGTCCTGGCCCACCATGATCGTTGGACACATGGACGAGAGCGGCTGCTTCCCTGTGGCCGACGGGAGAAGGCGGGGATGCCGGTCAGCTGCCTGCCCAGGACACCCCCCTCTCCACCCCAGCCCTTCACCCCCAGACCTCCACCCCATACCTGGCTGGATGAAATTGGCAGGTGAGGGGGGCACCCCAAACTGATTGGTGATGCTGGGAGAGCTGAAGTCATCCATTTCATCATTGAACAGGATCCCGCTGACTGGGGAGCGGACCTTGGAGCCAAAGCTACCGCCCAGCCAGGTCAGACAGCGCCTGACCTCGCCCGACCCAGCCTGGTCCCTATCCACCCACTGAGACTCAGACTTACTCCCTGAGAGGCCCAGGATAAGCTACCAAGGTCAGGCCTCAGTTTCCCACCAGGAAAAGGGGTGATGGAGCCACCTTACTGGATAAGTGGGCAGTCCCTGGACCACATGCCCCTGGCCCTGTCCCACCCAGGGGGCCCAGCAGCCCCTACTAGAGGTTGATGGTGCTGGTGGCGGACACAGCACTGCCGTCCTCTGCGACGACAGACAGGTGGGAAGTGCCCCCATCATCCGGCATGTAGAACTCGGGTTTGTAGTAGGAGATCGGGTGAGTGGTATCATCAGAGATCTGGGCCCGGAGCTGGGCAGCGAAGAACTCGGAGGTCATGTTGCGGATCACCTGCCGAGACCCCAGAGCTGGCCTGAGGAGGTGGGGAGGGAGGGTGGGGAGGGGGCACAGGTCTCAGAAGGCCCCCGACTGTGGCTCTGACCACAGCCCTCTGGCACCCACAGCCTTCCATGGCTCCCCAGGGCTCAAGGACAGGCCCAGGACTTTGCATGACCAGTCTGACTCTCTGTCTCTGTCGCCTTCCAGCAACTCTGAATGTCTGTCTATCTGGCCCTCAGCCTCCAGACCCTTGCCACATTCAATCACTCATTCACTCACACAAAAAATATTTCTAGAGTTTGCACTGCATGCCTGGCACTGGAAAATCAACAGGGAACAGATACTTAGGTCCCTGCTCTCATGCCAAGAAAAACAAATGCACACGGGGAAATTGCTGAAGCCACAAGCCAGTAAGGGGAATCAAGAGGCATGAGGTATGGGCAGAGTGGTCAGGGAGGGCTTCTCGGAGGAGGCAACATGTGAAAAGAGCCTGGAATGCAGCCTAAATGGTCAGTGCAAAGGCCCTGAGGCAGGCGGTATAGGCTGGTAAGCGATAGGCAGAGAGTGAATGGGGTCGGGGGAGAAGAAGATGAAGATGCAGGCTGGGGCCCATCCCACAGGACCTCCTAGGTCCCTTAGTGACTGGCTTTTGTTCTGTGCCACGCAGGCTTTGGGCAGAGGAATGAGCAGGCTGGAGAGTGTTTTCACAGGGTCCCTCTGAGAGCTGTGAGGGGGATAAAGATAAAGCCCAAAGGGGAGGCTGCGGGTATCAACCAGGCAAGAGATGATGGCCTGGGTGGGAGAAAGAGAAGAATTGAGGATGGCACCAACTAGGGAAGTAAACCCTGCAGAAGGGGCAGGTTTGGCGACGGTCAGGAGCTTGCCTTTGGATGCTTCATCAGACCTGAAGAGCATGGGTGCATGTATAGGCATGGGTGCACCGGCAAGGGCAGGCTGAGGGATGAATATGGAGGTATTGACATTGAGAGGCTGCTGGATGCCACGAGCCTGGCCAAGGTCCCCAAGGCCGTGGCGAGGAGGAGATGAGGAGGTGAAGGAGGAGACAGAGAGGATGGGCCCTGAAGGCTGAAGAAAACGCCTCAGGAGAGTTTCAGCAACACCCCCACAGATTAGCAATCGCAGGGCAAGGTGCTCTGTCTGAATCTGCCCCTAAGGAAACAGAAAGGCAAATCCAGGATGTGGGACATCTTCCAAGACCACTGCCCCGGGCTTTAAAAATCAACAAAACAGGTCGAACACGGTGGTTCACACCTGTAAGCCCAGCGCTTTGGAAGGCTGAGGTGGGAGGATCATTTGAGCCCAGGAGTTTGAGACCAGTCTGGGCAACATGGCAAGATCCTGTCTCTAAAAAAAAAAAAAAAATACAAAAATTGGCCAGGTTTGGTGGCATGTGCCTGTGATCCCAGCTGCTTGGAGGGGCTGAAGTGGGAGGATTGCTTGAGCCCTGGAGGTTGAGGCTGCAGTGAGCCGAGATCACACCACTGCACTCCAACCTGGATGACAGAGACTCTGTGTCCAAACAAAAACACAACAGAAACAAAACAGCCAAGGGAGCCTACTGTAGGTAAAGAGAAGGGACAGCAGGTTGTGTCACCCCAGCATCCTGCTGTGGTATGTTCAAGTCTCACTCTTGAGACACACCCTGAGGTGTGACATCAGCAACCTACTGTCAAATCCCTCAGAAAAACACGAATCCCAATAGACGTGGGTGGAGACGGAGAGAGAGGAAATCCAGCAGCAACGTCCACACTGCGGACTCCAGGGAAAGGGAACATGGACACTTGGACGGTTTGGGGTTTTTTTAAACATTTTCGTAGGTGTGAAAATTTGCAAAATGAAAACTCGAGGAGAGTGTGGTGAGCTGTGTGAGATGCTGTTGAGTGGGGCCTGATGGGGAAACTGAGGCTGGATGTGGCGATCTGGTGGCATGGGGATAGAGCAGGGGAGGGGACACCCTAAAGGGAGAGAGGACATAGCCCAGCCATGTTTGCTGTAAGGGGAGCAGAGGACAGAAGGAGGCAGCAGATGGAAGTTTCTAGAGCTACAAGAGCTGCCTTTCTTTTGGGAATAATCCATTATAAAGAAATAAATGGTCAGAGGCAGAGAGGAGCATTGTAGGAACAGTGCCCTGAGCCAGCAAGTGGACGGAAGAGCTGGCCTTAGCTAAAAGGGGACACGCTGTAGTGGTCCTGTCCCCTCAGAGAGACCAGACACCAGGTCACTGGCTACAGCAGGAGTCAGAGGTGCAGAATGCTCATGGGGAAAGAGAAGACACCACCCGGGCAGCTGAGGCCCCTCCGGGGAGGTCCCTGGTCAGTGTGGAGGGGTCTGCAGGTCTGCCCGGGAATGCCAAGGACCCGAGTAGGTAAGGAGGGATGTGAGGATCCTCAGCGGGAAGGGATATGACAGGGTCTCACAGGGACCCAGCATGGAGCTCTCCCTTTCACCTGTCCTTCTCCTCATGCCCGAGGGCTGCAATGCCCCCATGCGTTCCTCATCTCAGCACTGAGCTCGAGAACCACAGCATGTGCAAAGCACTTGAGGTAGGAGTGTGGCCACTAATTCCCCACACTGTCAGTTCTGTGGGGCAGAGGCCAAGACTCAGGGTCACCGACCAGTCCATCTGAGCACACAGTAGGCCCGCAATCAAACTTTGTGGCAGGAATGGATTCATAAAGCATATGTGAGGCTGCAGCCGCCCTGGGGAGCCCACCTGATGTCTCTACAGCAGGCCCCACGCCTAGAGTGGGCCAGCCTCTGCCCCTTACCTCAGTCACATCCACAAACTTGGGGTCCCCAAGCAGGGTCCTCTTGGCAAAGGCAAACCGGAAAGCCTCTACGATGCGGTGGTACGTCAGGCCCTTCTGCTCCGGGGTCTCCACGCTCGCCCGGGAGAAGTTGTACCCTGGTTGATCAGAGCCAGGTGCACGTTGCTGAGCCCCAGAGGATCTGAGGGACTCA